GCTTAGAGACAAAATTTTCCCTTAAGCTCGTCTACTTACTGCTTCTCGATGGTAATAGTATGTAAAAAAAAAAAAAAAAAAAAAAAAAAAAAAAAAGGAAAAAGAAAAGAAAAAAATACTTTTTTCTGTTGAACACAATAAAGATTTAAATTAAAAAAGAACACGTTACGGCTAAATCAGTCATAACTTGTAATAACGCGATTTGGTTTTCGTTTCGATAACATTATTTTATAAACTCATTTATTTACCTAATTTTTAACGAAACTCTTTTATGAGTCTCTAATGTAAGTCTTTACATGTTCTTGGGATTATGATGGATATTTGTTTTTTCTTTCTTTTAATCTTATCACAAATTTTTTGTTCAATATTCTTCAAATAATACACATATATGCTTAAATTTAAAGAATATATATATATGATATATATATATATTTATATGATATACATATATCAAATATATATATACATATAAACAAAATTACGATAACAATAATTAATTTCAAATATGTCAAGAACTTGTTAAAAATATTTAAAAGAAAATATTGTTTAATAATAATAAACTAAGATAAGAGATATGTGTTCATCATAATCACCGAGTACACGTTTTAAACAAATTTGATCGAACTAAAAATTATTTAAAAAACAAAACTTACTTATATGATTTCTTTTCGAAAATCTTATGAGAGTAATATCAAATGCGTATCAATGTTTTTCAATATATAATACACAATGTTTCATAGACGTTATAAGTATATCTTACTAATACGCCTCTCTCAATGTATAGAACCATCTCAAAAGATTTCTGGAATTACTATTATTATTATACCGATTAGAGACGAATATCATAGCAAACTTATAAATCACGAGAGCACAGTATTTTTGTAATATAGCCTGTTTGTTTAACTAGTTTAACAAATAATCATCAAATATATTAAGACGTAGAGATAAGTTTATGAAATTAATTTAAAAAACACAAAAAAAGACAAAAATAATAATTTAAAAAAATTGAAATCTATGAAACATAATATGCTAATCATGCATTTTTAACTAATAAAACAAAACAAATAATAATGGCAATCGTACAGACAACCTATTTCATAGCTTTTTTCGGTGGAAGGCAGTGCTCGTGTGTTGTACAATATCTTTTTTTTGTTATGCTTTATGCTTTAGTTTAAAATATACATTATAATGTGGCTTTGAAATAGGTTGTATATTCATTATTATACTATACACAATCCATCGTTTTAATGGAAAATCTTTGATGATGCAATAAAGAAAGTCCTTCAGTATAGTTAATTAAATTAAACATGAAATACATTTGAAATTTCATTAAATATTACATAAATCACGTTTATTCTTGTCAGAAATGTTCTATGCCGTATACAAATTACTCGTGAATTTCCTTATTGCATCACTTTTCTCTTTTTTCTTATTTCTTATCTTTTTTTTCTTTCTTTCTTTCTTTCTTTCTTTCTTTCTTTCTTTAATCCTAATTAAAATGTACATCTATATCATATTATTGCTATTTATCGCGATAGCTTAACTTATAGTCTACAACGTTTGTACATCTGTGGATTTGCTGATGATCCTTTACGATGTCAACACTCTGAGATTGATTGTCTCATATGTGCTTGACAAATAAACCAAGAGAAATTCATGTGTCCTATATCGACAACTAATTATCTAATGATTGATATTTTCTAATTAATGACCAAATTGAGTAGCATTCTTGTCTTCGTTCAAGGTTGAAATGTCTCTACTTTACGGTTCCTTTTCTTTGGATTATTTTCAATAATTTCCTGCAATTGGTTATCTCAAATTTAGATAAACAAATATATTTACCTAATAAGTATCATTTACCGATTATAAAATGTTAATTAATAAATTATAATAATATATATTTCTCTAACATATTGTATAATATTGAATTTTTCTCTTTAAAAGCAAACATATATATATATATATATATATGTTTTCTTTTCGTGTAAAACATCAGCCTCATATAAATATCCATCATCTTCATTTTAGTGTGCAATATAATTTGAAATATTAATAATAAATATTGCATAATTGAGTAGAGACTAACAAACATGTGTCAAGTCAAGAATTAAGGGGTAAAATTCTAAATAATAAGATTCAATTATTTCGGCTTTTCAATTAATAAAACAAACAAACTAAAAATGAATTCATACTTTTTACCACGAAGCCTATATCTTCGTGCTTGTTACCTTTCAAATACACTAACAATAAAACACGATCGAATATATTAACTAGCCTTTGTTTTTATCACGTTTTACGGATGCTGAAAGTTTTTCTTTACTTTGTAATAGCATCTACCTTCAGCTAGGTTTACCCGGCGGTCCGTGGTTAGTCGGAGAAGGTCCATGTGAATGAAGATTATGAACGCTACCTACTTGATTACTAGAGAGAGTTGACATTGCTGGTTGATACATCGACGGCATATAACTACTTGATGATTGTGGAACTGATCTAATATCAAAATATTATCAAAATTTTAATTATTACTTTCTTTAAGATTAAAGATGATCATCAAAAAAGTTTAGTTTATTATTCATCAACGTACCGGGGAACACCACGTAAGGGATCTGGTGTTACTGAAGAATTTCTAACTACTCCCGAGCTACTAGCTGTGGCAGGTGATACAATATTACTTTGTCCTTGTAAATATCCACTTGCTGCTGGACTATGTCTAATATTGTTACCGTCAACGTACAAACAAACAAAAATTCCATTTAAAATACCTGTAATTACATTACCAGATAATAGACAGATATGCTACCTTATTGTAGGACTCGGTTGTGGAGCAACCAAAGATCCTCTGTGCTGATACTGAGATAGGGATGCTGCTGCAGGTGGTGAGGGATCCGGTGGCAATCCGTTTTCTAATGTAGTTGGATGGTTTACGGAACTAGAATGAGGTATGTATGTATTATTCACGCGAGTTTCTCGATTAACTCTAGGTACAGCAGCTCCAGATGCTCCAGATGGTACCTCAGGATGGGCGACATTAGCATGTGATGGATTAACCGTTGGATGTACATTATTCGCTGCAAATATTTTCACAAAATTAAGAAAACTTTTTATTCGAAATTATTTAATCTAATATTTTTTTTTACCTGGATGTGTACTCGGTTGAGTTGTTAAAGGAATTGCTAGTCTAGCATTCACTGCTAATAAATGATCTCTCCTCTGTAAAAGACTATTTACGTGTTCCTCTAATCTGACATTTTCAGCTCTCAGCTGATGAAGACACGAAAGTAGTGATGCAACTATAATGAGGTTTAATTAGAAATGCATATTATATAGATGTATATATATATATATATGTATAAGCAAAAGCATTGCTAAGCAAAAAGTAGTACGGTCTGATGCTTGATACTAAAAAATAAGATTAAAATGTTTGTAATAATTCAATGGAAGAAGGAAAAAACTCAACGAATCGACGTAAGCATAATAATGTTTTTTCTTGCCATACACTCACTATCAAAATGCTGCGCTTGCTCCATTAAAAATTGACTGCCCTGTTCCCATTGTCTCTCTAACAGCTGATCTAACGTTTGTGGAATCACTCCACTACCTAATGTTCCAGAACTCGCAGTACTAATATTTGTATTACTGTTTGTTGAAAATACAGATGAAAAAGAGGTAGGTGCCGTAGTTGTTTGATTCGATCGTATCTATTTAGAAATATGATTATTATGTAATTTCCAAAAAAAGAAAATAAAGAGATTCGTTACTAATATTATTTACAAGAAACTTACAGAGGCTATTACACGACTATGTAACTGTGGACCAACTAAAGTAGCTGCTGAATTATTTGCTTCTGTAAAAATAGAATGAGCTTCCAATTCTTGTGATAACGTATCAGACATCTTTTGTGCCATCGTCGAAGTTGGATTTAATTGATTTCCTAACATGTGTGGCGCACTAACCCCATTTTGAAATCTATGCATAGTAAAAATTGAGGAATAGAGTTCGATAAATGAACATATTTTAGAATCAATAATATTAGTTGTTGGAATTCTTACAGCTTAATATCTTTTTCCTCTTTATTATTATTTGTCATAGTTGTAGGTGTACTAGATGCCGGTGGTGTAGGCGTCGTAGATGCTGGACAAGTACTTTTTCTTTTACGACGTCCCGGACCGTTGCTACTCATACTTTCAGAACCTGGACTACTAGGAGGTGAATCTTTAACAGTAGGACCCATCGAGCCTACTGAACCAATACTACTAAAATGGCCACCAGTTACCAATGAAGGACCTTGTATTATTGAAGGAACAGGTGCTACTGATACAGTTGGCGGAGATGTTTGATGATTGTTTCTTCCACCTCTTTTAGAAGTCGTAACAACTGCACTACTAGATACAGATGTTGCAATCGATGATATTGGCAGCTGTGATTGAGCTTGAGATTGTGGCTGTGTTTGTGCTAATGCTGGTTGACTATTAGATGACCCACGTTTTGGTTTACGAACTTTATCTTTGTCTGAAGATTGAGATCTAGAAAATAATAAAGTCCAATAATAAATTACGTTTACGGAAATAGGTAAAATCTATAGTGAA